TCTCTTTCATATTGGCCCTAGAGGGATTGCTACAAATTAACTTTTACACTACATATGAGTCACGTCATAGATGCCAGTCCTTGGAATATTAATTTTACCCTGTTTTCTTTTATTGTTAAATATTTCTGTTAACAAGAGAGGACCTTCAAAATCAGAGATTATGTTATAGCTGAAACCATAATACAAAGTTTTGAAGTATGAGAGTTCATGCTAGTGAAAGAAAAGCTACGGGGTTGTTTGTGGGTGGGGTTTTTTTTGGGTTTTTTTTTTTTTTTTGAGGGAATATTTGATTTGCAAAAACCCAAGGTAAAATTTGCAGAGTGTTTTTGGTTAAAAATAGGAGTGCAGACAGAATGAATCACTTTGTGCATCTCTTTGTTCTGATGTTTCTTAGATGCTTTTCCTTTCATATTAGGGGGATATGCTCATATACCCCCCAAACCAAACCTGAAACACACCAAAGTGTCCAGAGGAGCGTGTGCCAGTGAGCAAAGTGTTACCTTTCTCTCCTGTTAGGCAAACAGCAGTCATGCAGTCAGTGGTTTGGTGATGTGTGGGTGTATATGTTTGAATACAATATTAGTATTTTACTGAATGCTATAAGATCATCTGGGCAAGGTTGAGTCTGTCTATAAAGTTCCCTTTGACAAACCATTGCCTAGACTACTTTAGTAAGTAATAGAAAGCAATACCATTCACAAGTAGGAGGTCTGTCTTTCTCCTGACTGTAATTAATGCTGAAGGTAGTTTACTAACCTCCACTGTTACAGATTTTTGGCAGATAAAATCTGGTGTAAAGACTCTCTTCTCCTGGAGATTTAGTGTTTATTTCAGGTCTCATTCTTGTGTATTTCATGAAACAAAATCTGTCTTTTGATGGAAACAGTAATTGAGCAGTTCATCTTATTGAATTGGGGTTTTTTTGTTATGATTTGTAAAAACTGAAGAGTTCTTTACTTTGACTTGCTTTGTATCTTTGGGTGAAGCTTTGCTGTAGTGAAGGCCCACTTCATAGGTCAAGAAAGGAGTTTTGAATATGCACCTTTACTTGAAAATAATCTTGCTTGGAGATTGATATATTCTGATTTTTTTTTTCTCACTTTAGTAGTAGTGTACTACTTCATTTGTTTGTGTCAGTCACCTAATTTCTGCCACTGATATGCAAATAGGAGAAGCCACCCTCAGCGATCTCACACTTTTACAAATGAAGTTATTCCACTAAACATAGTACTTTATTACCAAACTTGCCACATTTGTTGTCAGCTGTTGCCAGTGCTACCACTTGAGTAACGGGTGGTAAGAGGCAGGTGGTTCTCTAGCGTGCTCTGCAAGTGTTGGCTGAGGGGGCTTGCATGCTTCTTGGGCCTGGCCAGCCTCGCTGGCAACAGTCTGATAGGTGCTGCATTTTTTTTTAAATTTTTTTTTTCCCCCCTGTTGGCTATCAAAGCACCCACAGAGTTCTGTTTCTGAAAGGTTTCTACCTCCAGCATTGGAGGCAAGGATTCCACAGTGCAAATGTCATTGCTGGAAAAAACACTCTTCCTTTCACCATGTCATTTGAATTACAATTGGAAGAGGATGGTTGGTTCAGTTGGCAGTCATGCTGATGTGGGAGTTGCAGAGGTCCTACTCCTTTCTCCCTACTCGCCTGGAGGTGTTACACAGGGCTCACAGCAGGAAAAAGTCTTTGTATCTTCCCTTCAACCAGAAAAATGCTGTTCTGCTGTGGGTGGAGGGAAAGTGGGTGGTTCTCCTGGGCTGGTTAGGAAATACTGCTTTTACGTAATGGCTTTTCACACTCCAGCTATGTGTGGAAAATAAAGTTTGGGTGTGGGCATAATATCCTTCCATTAAGAGAACCTGGGAATTGAGTGACTGGCCCAGCTACTGTATCTTTGTGTGGTGAGTAAATGGAAGCCAAGCATGAGAAGGAGTTTCTGCTTTGTGCTGTCTTAATGGAGCGCTGAAAAATCAGTGATCATGCTCCTAAAACCAGAGTTCCTCACCAGAAACTGGAACCTCTCTCGCTGGGGCTGGGAAGTATTGAAAAGATTTTAAGTCTAGAATTCTTCATAGAGATTGAAATTGGTCTTAGGACACCAAGTGTACTGCACCTCCAGGGACTCAAGCATTTTCCTCTTCACCTCTTTTGCCTGTGGACTCGTCTTCTTTCTTTGCCCTTCTTTTATTTCTTTGTTTTCAGCACCTCCACTCTACTGACTCGTTCTTGGTTTTCCTGTGATGAGATCCTTTTCTGTTGGGCTGTCTGGGGTTTCTGTCTTCGTGCTGCACAATCTGGTCTCATCAGATCCATCCTGCTTTCTCTCCTCACTCCAAAGCGTCCACCCCTTCCAGCAAATAAAGGTTACGCTGCTGTGGCATGGCCTGGAGAAGGTGAGGGCGTGTGGTTTCAGGGAAGGTGGAGGCTGAGGACTAGTCTGTGTTACCAGCTTCCTGGTGAATTGCCACATCACAAGTCTCTTGGGGCTTTGGAACTGGTGTGTGTGTGTGCAGCGTGCCACGGGCGGTTAAGAGATGGGGTGATGGATTGACACTGGCTCAAGCACGGAGTATGTGGACACTGCTACTCCATTTAACAAACAAGTGATGAGGTGTTTCAGCTGGATCAGCATCCAGAACAAAAACAGAGGGACACAGTTCCACATTTGTGGTCAGGAGATGTTGCTTTGTCCATCTAGGCATCATGTTGAGAGAAAAGGAGAGCGTGCTGCTTGTTGGTGCAAACCCTGAGGCGTGCAAACCCTGAAGCTTCCTAACCTAAAATCTAAAGCTCAACAGCAGCTCTTGATGTACCAGGCACATTAGAAATGGAAGAAAAAACCTCTGATGGTGATAAAAGCCTCATTTTGAGGAAATCAGAGTAGCTTTCTGAACTGGACTGAGCTGTGCTCTGTCTGAAGCGCCTTGTTTCACTCTCAAAAGCAGGTGACTTGCTCACTTGTCTCACGGGGCGGCAGGCCCCTTGCAAGCTGTTCCCTTGCAGAAGAGATCCCAGCGAGCCAGGGCTTGTGAAGTCAAGCATCTCCTGACATAAAGGGCGTATGGTGATACTTTGCAATGTACAGATGAGCATTGCAGTTCTGTGACTTAGCGTTGCATATTGATCATTTGTCCTCCAGTGTGGTTTTTGTCCTTAAAAGCTTTTGCCACCACTGTTTTAATGTTAGCACTGTTTTAATGTGTTCTAAATCTGGAATTGAGGTTTCTCCCTGTGTGGTCCTTAATAGAAAAATGTAATTTTTAGAAAACTGAGCAGGAATCCCTTCGGTGCAGCACGAGTTGAGGAAGCTTCTAAATACTAAGTCCTACACTCCAACTTTATTACTCTGTTTTCTTATATCTTGACATAATTTCTGAATTATAAACATCCCTTGAAGATAACAGTGTTCTGTGAAACAAAACCAACTGACTGTATATTGTGACAGGAAATGCAGGTTGTGAGGGGACTTGATTTTTGGGAGATTGCTGGTGAGATTTACTTGAGTAAGCCAGACAGGCTATGAGTATCTTGACGTGGCATTGCTTTTGCAGAAGGTTGTGGTTCAATGCCAAAACAAAAATCACCTTAATGCCTTGCTTTTACTGGATTATTGTGTATGTGCTGCTGGGTCTACTGTATTTCTCACTTTCTGCCTTTCATCTTTTAAAATCAATTGCTTCTATTATTCTTTGCTTTTAATTTTAAAAGTTCTTAACTTTTTCAGTACTAGTTTTTATCCACGCAGATAGCAAAACTAAAGATCCTTGATGTCTGTACTGGAAATTCAAGTGAAATGCTTTAGTGTAATTTTGCACTCTGCTAATACAATTGATGTAAATTGCGAATATTCTTTAACAACCTTAATTTGAAAACTTCATGCACTCTTAAGAGTGAAATACATATACCTAAATGATACTGTTTTTTGCACTCTTAAGAATGAAAAATATTTACCTGAATGTTACTATTTTTACATTAATGTAATGCCAACAGGCCATGATGTACCTGAGAAAAGTAACTGCTGCTGACACAGAAATCCAGAGGAGGACTAGTTTTGATTTGCCTGGTACATAATGATGACTGGCATTGCTGCTTCTAGACTGTTTTTTCCTTAAATGCTTCATACAGCTTAGGAAAATGTCATAGTTGTATGCTTTTACTTCAGATAATGCGCAATATGCAATGCTGCGATTATCTGGCTTCTCAGCATTGTGCATTAGTGAAGGAGGGTGACTTCCTTAGTTCAGGAGAAGGGTGTCCTTGCTTAGATTTACTTAGGTCTTTGAATGGAAATTGCAGAGCTGGGATTGCCTTGGGAAATATTAAGGTTAAAACAAATGCAGCAAAGCAAAATATGCTCCTTGGATCATGCCAGAGGTGGCTTTAAAAATGCCTTCATTTGGAAGCTTGTCTACATGGTAACACACACAAAAAAATACATAAACGTAAAGCAACTAGTACAGTCGTTTAGAATAGAATAGAATTGACTGTTATCACTTGATCAGTATCAGCATGCCTGATCAGTGCTCTCTTTGTGGGGAGTTTCAAAGCTTACTAAAGTAATTTTAACTTCTCACAGCTTTTGGTTGAGTCTCCTTACTGCTGCTGTTCTCCCAGAAGTAAATGGGTGTTAGGAGAGCCTCTGACAAAGCAAGCTGACTAAGGACAGTGTGTTGGTGTCAATGGCAGGTGTTTTTTTCTGGTGCTAGAGACACTGTAGCTGCTCAGTAGTGAAGTTTGTATCTTATCCTGAGATTGGTGCCTGGCTTGGAAGGTGGAGATCCCTCAGTTGCCTCAGTAAAGATCCCGTCGTAAATGGAGAGTTCTGAGCATCACCTCTCCCAAATTACCCAGCTTGTATCTAGCTCTGTGGTTCTCTGTGGGTGTAGATGTTGGCTATGGATGTTTGATTTACTGGGAACTGACTACTTGTGTGCTTTCCCCCCCTCTTCAACCTACCCTTTATTTCTGCTGAGGTTATTTGTTTGTTTTTCAGATGAGACCCTTTTTGCTCTTCCTGCTACATCTGCGCCTCTGATGCACTCCTCTGCAGGCAAGTTCTTTCTGCTCACCTTTGTCTGAATACCTCCTGCATATCTGATCTCATTAACTCTCCCCAATTAGTCTGCCTTTACTAAAAGTCAGCATGGGTCCAAGAATAGCCTCTACCACATTTTTCAGTTTTGACTTTTTAGTTAATCTGTTCAAGATTTTAATACGCATTCATTTCTTTACATGGTAAACTGTTTTATAAACAAGCTACTGCCATCTGTGAATTCTTGGACCCTTGATGTAGGAGAGAAGCTGGTACTATTAACAGGTTAACACATCAAAGCATAGTTGCTTTACTGATTTAGCAGAAGGATTTAATCCATAGTAACTTTCTGCAGTATTTTATATAAGTAAAATTTTTACCTGTAGTATTTATTTAGTGTTTTTTGTTAGCTATGCTGTTCACCAAATTTCCATGTAAAAAGTGTCAAAAAAAGATTTCTTATTGGCATGCACGTTTGTGCATATGTTTATGTACAAGCATACCTGCATACCCTCTCTGTTTCACCTTGCCACCCCACTCTCCCTCTCTCACTTTAATATTGCCTGCTGTACTTAGATGCTCTGTACTTGTCTGGCATCTTCAGCTTTACTGTCATCTTTGCACTGCATAAAGTTGCTGTTTCTCTAGCCTTCTTTGCTAGAAGAAGTGAAATAGAATAGCATACTTTAACTGATACTTTGTTTTAATGGCTCATAGTATTTATGATAGAACTTGGAGGAACCTATTAATAACTAACGTCATGTGAACCTGTCAAGAACATTTGCATTGACTTTAAGAGCACTTGCATTCTCTAACTGTCCTTTCTGTCCATGGTCACAGAAAAAGTTATGGACTTGCAGGAGCAGCCAGGTAGCACTAAGTCGCTTGGTCAAGAGGATTTTACTGCAGTCCCGCTCGATACTGCTCCTTCTCTTCCTTCCTTCTCTCCTATCTCAGCTGATCCCTTTAAAGAGCATGCAGCCTTTGATACACTCTCAGATGGATTACCTGCAAGAGGCATTTACAAAGAAAATGCAAGTGAGGCTTATAAAGAAACTATGGAAAGTGCAAGAAATCCATTTCTTGCAGAGGGAAATGAAAAAGACATTTCAGAGATGAAATACTCAGAACCCCCATTTGCTAAAGCAGAAGCAGCCATTTTATCCCAAGCTAAAGAGGAAACACAGCTAGAGGGCCCTAAAGAATTACCTAATCTGGAGAAAATGCCTGCACAGCAGCTGAAAATGTCTCCAGAAACTCCTCAAGATTTATTTGAGAAAAATGGGGAAGATCTCTTTTATAACAGAGACGAATACGGAGGTGATGATCATGGTGAAAAAGAGGCATTGAAAGAAGACCTTAGGAGGGAAGAATATGCAGACTTCAAACCATTTGAGCCAATATGGGAAGTAAAAGGTAGTAGTCATGGACTGAGCAGTGTGAGAGAGGATGTTGGACGTAAGATAGATGCCGAACTAGAAAGCAGTTTAGATGAGAAATACTGTGTAGGTAAGCTGAATGTGCAGAAGGATTATGAAAGAGAGAGTGAAGGCAGTACTGAAGATCACTGTTTCCCAAGTACCCCAGAAGCTGTAAAAGAGCCTTCGCAGACTTACATCAGTTGTACTAAATTTGAATCCTCTGTAAGTCCTGTTGGTAACAAAGTCAAATCTCTTTCTCCACTAGAGGAAGGTACTTCAGAAAATAGAACCGATGATGAGAAAAAAATTGCAGAAATGAAAGCTCAGACAAGCACAGAACAGGGTGATTTTAGCACTCGAGCAGTTGGCAAGCAGGAAGGCCAGGAAGCTGACTATGCTAAAACAGAGAGTGTATCAACAGTGCCATCTGACACTGCAGCAAATATGCCTGAAGGTCTTACTCCTGATCTAGTACAAGAAGCATATGAAAGTGAAATGCATGATGTGGCATGTACAAAACTTGCTTATGAAACAAAGATTGATTTAGTTCAAACCTCTGAGTCAGTACAAGAGACTCTGAAACCCGTGGCACAGCTCTGTCCCTCATTTGAAGGGACGGAAGCCGCTCCATCACCAATATTGCCAGATATTGTTATGGAGGCCCCACTAAGCACTGGGACTGCTGGTGCAGAAGCATCTGCTGTGCATCTCGAAGCTTCCCCGTTAAAAACATTTATTCCTACTGCTGATTATGAGAATGTAAAAGAAGAGACTGAAAAGCCTCCCTTATACCAAGAGGCAGTCAGTGTACCACCAACACAGGCCCAAGAAGCAAAAGAGGTGTTGGCATTTAAAAAACCTGATCGTGAGACTAGTGGCAGTCCTGAAGATATAGAGACTCCATATATATCTATTGCATGTGACTTAATTAAAGAAACAAAGGTCTCTGGTGAACCTCCTTCTCTGGCCTTTACAGATTATTCAAAGACACCAATAACGGAATGCATTCCTCAGGATGTGCCTGAACACAAGGAACTTGTTGAAAAACTGTCTCCGCAGTTTGGAAAATCTGACTTGTTGAACAGCCAGGTGGTACCTGACTTCACTGAGAAAGTGAGCGAAGATCCATCTTTCATCTTAAAAAGTAAATCAACTGAGAGTATTGTAACTGATGACAAACATGAGGAAGGACTGGTGGATTCAGCAGGTGCCACGGGCAAACCTTATCTGGAGTCTTTCCAACCTGAACTCGACTCTTCCAGAATTGTTGCCACTCTGCCATCTGAGCCAGCACCTACAAAAATAGCCAAGGCAGAGAAGATTCCTCTTCAAATGGAAGAGCTGAATGCTATGCCTTATTCAGCTGATGTATCTGTTGCTACAGAACCAAAAACGGGAGACAACAAAGGTCTCTCATCCTTGGAGTCCTCTCCAGGCCCAGTGGAAGAAGACTTTGTGATGTTAGCTCATCCTAAAACTGCGCCTGAGTTTGGGACACAAGCCACCGACAGAGAAGTAATGCACAGAGATGAAAGTGAAGAGATCAGTAAGGTGATCAAAGGTGAGAAGATGCAGTTGCCTTGCCCAGAGCTACCCTGTGATCTGTCTGTAAAGAATGTAGAAGTAAAAGCTGAGGAAGATCCTAATGCTTTGAAAAAGTCCTTGGAGGCTGTGGACAGAGAAGTGCCTGAAGTATTCACAATGTCCTTACCGGCCACAGATACCTCACCTTTATCTGCTGAAAAAGAGATAGTCGTACTAAAACCAGAAGCTTTTGAGAAGGAAACTGGGCGAGAAGCTGCTCCTGTTAAAGAAAAGGAAAAACCTACTGCTGTGTTTTCAGCAAAGCTGAATAAGTCTTCAGGTAATCGGTGTATGCTGTCTTGCAGTTCACTAAGTTGAATCATTCTTTAGCTAAACCTAATCATATCATGACTTAAGTCACTTTCTGTAAACTTCTCTGTGTAGGCTGAGGGTAACAGAAAATGTTAGTGCCTGCACTTTTACTTTTTTCATATTCTGATTGCTTTAGTACTTTTTTGTGTTTATCAGAGATGGACTCACTGTCTCCAGTTTTTTTCCTTCAGTTCTGCTGCTGGTGATCTATTGATACAGAAATAAGTCATTACTCACTGCAAGATCTTCTTGGTTGTCTACAGGCTGGGCATTACGTGGCCTTCCAAACTTGCTCTTAATATGTGGTAGTAAGCTCAGGATGGTGTTTCAGTCTGCTGTACGTACATGATTTGAAGATGCATTTCTTTCTTTGCATACATGGTTCAGACATCAGACTTTGAAACTTAGGAAAATACCCTTGCTGCTGCAGTATGTACAACTTGTGTCTGGAATCTGGAAAAGACCCTGCGCATCTCCGCTCACATGACTCGCAGCTTGCATTAGACCAAGGCCAGTGGTTTAAATAGTGCCTATGAGGAAGCTTAGTATTCAGGTTACTAGGAAAATGACTGTTAAGAAGTTGAGTATCGTGCAAACATGAAAATGGATTTCTACACAGCACAGATAATCACATCCATTTTTCTTTTCAGGTGAGGCTTGCACTTCAGTGTAGTTAATTTTTCTTCAAGTAATGTGTAGTTCAAGTAGCAGAAAGTTAAAGGAAGGATGAGACCATTGCCACGTTGCATTCTGTTCTCTAAACTGAATGCCTCATGGAGTTCCAGCTCTTTGAGACTTTGCTTTTTGATATCACATGACTCTGCTGCTACTTAATCCTTGCACCAGGAGCGTTCCAACTAAAAACAGCTACTACAGAAAGCACAATGACTCTGTTCTAAATAGAAACCCAGATGTTAGTTTGACTCAGCAGTAGTATCTTTGTGCAGTAGCTGCTGTTTACACTTCATAAAATACTACATTGCTAATGTATATCTTCTGCATCAAATGTATTTTGGAAGTGAATAACAGGTGTATGTTGAAGGGAACACCAGGGTGTTGGTGCAATTGAAACAGGATAAGGTAGAAGATGTAGTTTTTTTATGTTTAATTTTGCATGATAGTTGTCATTCCTCCTGTCCCACCTCTTCTATACCTACAGGTAGGCAGAAAGGAGAGAGATTCCCATTTCCCTGTGATGAAATTGCAGTGATACCTGCACTGTTAAAACACTGTGTTCTGTGAAGACTTTGCTCCTTGAGCTCAGGCTTCAAGCATATAACACTGTCTAAAGAACAGTTGCTATGTATCTCGTACTTCATGTCAAAAGGTTAATTGTATAGAGACTGGACTACTTTAAAAAGACTTGAACATTGCCCTTTAGTAGCTTTTTTGTTAGGTTTTTTTTTAAACAGGAAGTCTTGCAGAGGTGTCTTTAATCATTGCAGGGATGTAGCAGACTGGGGCTGGCAAACTGGTGCCTAAGAGACTTATTTTGGGTCTGACAAGGACACAGCTGCTCCTCTTCTGTCTATGGGAAGAGAAGCTGCACGTAAAACCATTTGCCATAGCAGGAGAGGAGAGAGCTGAATCGCGTCTTCGTTCTCCCATCTAGTGGCACAGTGCTGGGACAGGGCACGCATCTGTCCAGCACTGGTGTTAGCTGAGGGATGGGAGCTGGGCCAGGCACGGAGCTGGTCTGGTTGTGCGGGAAAACTGGGGAATCTGCTGCGGTCTGCTAATGTTGCACACACACTGTAAAGCAGTTGCAATTTCACTTTTTTGACATGCTGTGTTGTTCTTCCAGAGTAAAGCAGAAAAATATATTTTTCTTCCTAAACACGTTATTTAAAGCTAAATAGATGAGAATACCAACTCAAAAACATGGTCTATTTTTTCTAGTTTGTTGTTTTTCTACCCAGTCTCTGATGATTCCTTTTTTGCTCACTTATTCTGTATTTTACAACACAGAACTAGAGTTCTCCCTGAGACCTACCTAAAGAGTCTAATTACAAGCCATGAGCAAAATCTGTTGTCTGCTTTTAATACTGCACTGCTTAAGCACAATTTCAAAGTACCATCCAAGAACTAACACATACCCTTGTCTTCCACGCTTTCAGAAGGGAGGGTAATTCATCACAAGGCCAAGAAGTGGATTCGTGCACGTGTTTGGCCTTCAAACTCTGTCTTTATTATGGGGCTTTTTTTTCTGTCTTCCCCTTAGTGGAACTGAAACAGATTTTACCATGCCTCAAGAGTTCTGGAAATCAGCTGGTATGATTGTATGATGATGCTTATTAAAACATTAATCTGCACTGCATTACCTATGCACTTAAATTAAGGTTCTTAAACACTTCCTTAACAGGGCTATTTTTTGAAAGCTAACCTAAGTGCCAAGATCTCTGTACCTGAAAGTGTAACTTCCACCAGTCCCAGTGCACTGCAGGGAGCCAACAGAAACCCTAAAAGAGTTGCAGATTTTCTTTTTTTTTTTTTTTTTTTTTTTTCTGACTCTACTATTCCAGTAAAGCAAATGTAAAGCTTTGAACAGCCTAGGGTAGAAAAAGGGTCTGTTTAGTGCTGCCTGGCAGACCTTTGGGTAACCTGTTTTATTTTGTAATGGTATTAGACCATATGGACCTTGCACTTCACAGCTGCACAGATTTTAAAAAAACAAACCAAAATGAATTCAGGACTGCAGTTAACTATGAAGAAATCTCCCTCCTTGTAACATGCTCCTATTTAGAAAAGTTTCAACAGCAAATACACCTTCTTTCCCCCCCCTGCAATACCAGTAACTGCTGTTGTCTTAGATACAGCGATCGTTTGGTGGGGTGGTTTTTTTTTCCTTCCCTTTCTCAACACATGCTGTATTTAGCTTCCTAGCAGATAACCATGCTGCTTTACTTTAAAATAGTAATTTCTGCTCTCCATAAAAACACTGCGTATTAAAATGTGGCTTCAGAGGGGATGTTTCGTGATTGTTTGGATGCTGCTGTTCTGTGCCACAGCCGTGCACCTCCGGCTTCTGCCTGGACTTGTGCTGTGGGGTGTGTGCAGCAGGGACTAGAGGAAGTCATGTTTTAAGGCATGATCACAAAAAAGGGTTTTGATGCCATCTAGTGCTTATAAATGAAGTGTAACTCCAGTACACTGGACCTTTCAGAGGATTCAGTCCAAGTTTTGAGAAACCCCTTATTTACTTTTGGATAGAGATCATTAATTCTCCCCCGTAGGCCAGAAAACCACACTTCCCATGAACTTTTTTTTTGGTTGGTGGAACATGGAGGTTTTTGTATTATCAAATGACAAAATCAAAGTATATTGTAGACACCTCCAAAATCTAAACCTCTGACCATGACAGAAAGTTGTGTACCAAAATGTAACCACATTGGCAGTTTAAATTTCTGTGTATGTTCATGTAAAGTATTACCATAAGATATAAACACGGCTTTGAGATCTTGACTGTGAAGGCAATCGGTTTCACAAGAAACCATTGGATACATGGCACCTTTGAACATCAAGCTCTGTAGTCATTAATTTCAAATTAAATCTTACAGGTTTATGGATCTCTTCTTTCCATATATACCACAGGGTGCTCTGTAATTGAATTACAGAAAATGCGGCCAATTAATTGCTAATAAGTTACATTTCCCAGATTTTCCTGAGGTGGCAAATTTGAAGGTGAAGTCCAAGTGAGAAATGCACTTTCAGAGGGTGGCTGAGTGGTAGTAATGATGAAACTTTTCTTTTTACTCCCAAATCATGGGGGCAGAAATAAACTACCTGTGATTCTGTAACAGCAAACCAGGCCATTACAGTTAGGTGAACCTTAAAAGAAGTTAGAAATGCTGCCTTTCACCAGCACTGTACCCCTTTGGCTCATTTCCGATAGTTTCTGTATTTGTAGTTAGGTAAATAGAGACATTCAGCAGATGGGAAGGGTTTGGTTTGGTTTGTTGTTCTGCACTGGGGTGAAACCACCTTGGAATGCCTCCGGGGTTTCTCTCAGGAGCAGATCATTTGTAAAACATAGTTCAACATAAAATCTCATTTTAATGTCCTGTGATGCTATTCTTGGATTCTTTGTTGGGGTCTTCTTTTATGCATCCAGGTAAATAATAATAAGTGGAGGCTTCTGTTGCAGAGTGGAGAATTTGGAGAGGAGTAGGAGGAATTAGGAAAAAAATCCCAAAACCTTAAGTGAGATTTTTCTGAAGGAAAGACCTAGACCTGCTGGATTTCATCAGAGCTCCCGTGTTGAGAGGCTGAGGCTGGTATAGCTAAGGCTGCTAACAGAACAGGGCCTTTGGGCAGTTACTTACTTTAGGAATGCATTGCAAATGGGTACTGTTTTACATATGGAACATAAAGAATATGAAGAAGAAATGAAGAGGCTTTAATTTTATGTCTTTAAAAATTTGACAATGAGTGATCCTTTTCTGAAAGCATTAAGTTCTTGACTAATTTAGTGACAATGCAGTCATGCCCACAAATACGTGGGGAGCATCACAGATTTTTGTGGTTTCCAGTTGATCTTAAGACTTACAGCTCAAAGACAGAAGGATATTTTCAAACATGTTTTGTACTTTTTTTTGTGTAGTGCAACTTTTCAAATTTTCTTGCACTATGATGTTTGAATGTACGCTTCCTCTTTTCCTATATTAATGTGTTTTGAGTTATTTGTTGAAATTGTGAATGAAATGCACATATTTTTATAAGTTAAAAATGTAACTGGTCGTGCTGTCAAAGGAGGCCTTGAATTTATGTAGCAACCTGAAGCAGTAAACAGGGCTTTCAGGTAACTCTGGGGTGGTCCTTTCTCCGTGTAAGATTATCTGTTTTAATGGGGGGGAAAAAAAAAAAGACAGTAAAACTTTATAAGGACCAAATCAGAATCTCCATCCCAGACAGTCTACAGATTTTTTTGTGGAAATATGCAAATATCTTTTTCTAGTTCTTTAGAATATG